TACCTAAGTTTGATGAGGTATTTATCAAATAGTGTCAATCTAAAGGATTACACGTATAGGAATCACCTATGTAAGTGTGAAGTGGAAGCCGCTTCAATGAGAATTTTGTAAGGCCAATTCTCTACGCACTTATGAAACCAGACGGTGTTCATGGCTAAAACGAACACAACAATGAGAACCAAAAGACGGTTAAGGGTTGGTTGTGTGACATATGGTTGTCTAGGTATACACTAAAGTTCGACGGTTCAAAGATATCAAATCTACCTATTGACCGAGTATATCCGACATATGTTCACTACGGAAAGTTCAAAGGGAAACCTAGTTATCCAGATGCAATTAATCCTTACTTGCAAAATCACATAGCTTTCATCTATGATCTTTCTTGATACAACCATTCCCATTCATGTGGGGGATTGTTGAACTTTAAGCCATTGGGCTTTAAAGTAGAAGAAGTGTGAATTGGAAATGGATGGAAATAAAATGGAGGGAAATTGAAAATTTGAAGAAGTGAACTTTTGTCTTGCACTTTGTCCCTCATTGGTGAGGGACAACCACATTTGTGTGCTTATATATAGAATCACTTCTTAAAGCTCTTAAAAGGAGTTGAAGAGAATGAACCCTCGCGCCGTCGTCGTCGCTCGCTCGGCTCGGCTTCGGCTTTGGCTTTGGCTTTGGCTTTGGATTTGTCAAATGATCGATCGATACTCTGGTCGCGGTTATGCCACGACCGCGGTAGAACCGCGGCAGGCAGCGTATTCTTCTGAAAAGGCACCTTTTCCAGACACCTCTTCTGATAATTGTCTATAAATTCTGAGGCAAGGCTCCATTTTCTACGCACGAAAAACACTCCAGAACTTCTTTCTTTTTGAATATACTGCATCCTAATTCGCAGTCTCTCTCTCTCAAATTCGTAAGTGTGATTTTGCTCCGTTCTTTAAGTTCGTTGGTATCCTGCAGTTTGTATTGCCACTGTTGCAGGAAGGTTTATTCCGTTTTATCCTGGGAGGATTAATCCATTACCTTGGCAACGTGTGAGGGGGTTAAAATTCCTTAAGGACACACAAGAAAATTGTAGACTCGGAATATTTCTTAAACTCTTCTGTTTTTCCAGTTTCTTTTATTTTTCTAACAGTTTTTCCTGATTTTTGGTTTAACACAGTAACGCTCACAAAATTCTTACATTATATCAATAAATTCTTAATATTAGACAAACCCACATTTTATATTTCATAACAAATAAATCTTTCATTTTAGAACTACTGTCAGGCCCAAAATTGAGAATTACATGTAGCTATGGCAAAGCCAGTAGCAATATATGAGGAAAAGTAAATTTACAGTATTGACAAAGAACTTTAGCTCCTCACATAAGTACAAAAAATACAACATGGTCAGTCATTTTTTGAAAGAAAGAAACAACATCATAGTTAGTATATAGGTCAAAATCTAATCAAAGGAATTTTAATTAAGGAAGAACGACCAGGAGTCAACCAAGCCGAAGTCACGTACAAGAAGCAATATATCAGCGAATGATTCAGCTACGGTGGAGATCGACCACTTAGTTCGCCCGAACGGCTAGTTCGACACTTAGACATTTCAGAGGAATACTCTAGAGGATATTCCAAGTACTTAGGTACTCCGGTTAAGGACGGCTGGGTAAGGCAAGTGTTTTGCATAAATATCATGAGAGAGAATAACAAAAAAAGGGGGACTTATGGGAACACAGACATACACATACATCCCTGTGAAGGAGAAGATGTTCCATCCTCCCAGCCTCTTTGCCAAAAGGAGGGGGGGGTAAATCTCAGGATCCTGGCATTTTATCTGTAGTTCAACTTTATCAAATGTATGGAAGTATATCTTGTTCAAGAATGGTGATTCTTTTCCTTTATGTATTCTTCATAATCATTTGATATTATTGAAGTCATCTTCCTCTTCTTACATTATGGAATCCAATCGCGAGTATAATCAAATTTTACGTTCCGCTTTGCTTGTTTATACCTGTCTTCTATCTCAGATCTAGAATAAATTATCTCTGGCTAGGATTTACCCCATATCTTGTTATTTAATTAGTTTAATAAAAAGGCTTGAAACTTTTTGGTCAAACAATTTGGTGCCGTCTGTGGGGATTTCCTTGCCAAAGTTTTAGTTTCCTCTAGATCGAAACTCGATTGTAGTTCTACTTCCCGTTCGTTGTAACTTCATCCGTTAGCCAAAGTTTTCGTTTCTTCACGCACTCGGGACTGGATCGGATTGGGACTTGAACTCGAAGATCCCAATAGGCGAAGTAAGTCATCAGCCCAGAAGGTGCCCAGATTCGACTAACGCCGAAGCTAAGTACGAGGCTGAGACCAGATCTGAAGCTAGCACTCAGTTCATTGCAAATCAGATCGAAGGGTCTTTCCAGACCCAAGTAGCGGAGACGGCAAAAACACCAAGCCGAAGATCCACAAGATGTCATCCGAGTTCTGTGGATATTAGTAGCAGCTACGAAGCATAGCAAAAGAAGGGAACATGGTCGCTCTCTTCCACTCGTTAACCAATCAATCGAGGTAACAAACGATTTCGTTTGGCTTTAAGTTGCTATTTCTTTTCAGAGTGGGACAGGAACAGGGGCATACTCACGGACACGCGAACAGGAAACAAACGCCATCAAAATAGCACACCAAGAAAACGCTCCGGGCCATATCATCCTGCAGGCAACGGTCGAGCAAACCCCTCCCCCCTCCCTAATAAGTTGGTATTCAACGCCATAAAGGAAAAGTCTGTATAGACTAGGACTGGGTCACCAGCCCGGAAAACATAAGAATCTCTCCAACACAACTAGCCAAAATTCAATCTCGTACATACATTGAGACGTCTCAAAGCTTGAGCGAGACATTCATCGCCCGGTCTATCGACTACCTCTCCAGGCCAAGAGATGAAGGGACTAGATAGACTGGGACTCCTCAAATATATGTACGGACCGTACAACAACATGTAGTATTCTCCAATAAATGAGTAAGCGAAGCGACATATGGAATTCTTACGCAACTCCACCAAGTTTACATATCACGCCAACGCAGGAAATGTACATTCGACCTCGTTCGAATTTACAACAAGACAAATTCGACCTCGCTCAAATCAATAAGTCTATATTCGACCTCGCTCGAATTAGCGATACAAATTCGACCTCGCTCGAACTAACAAATGCACATTCGACCCCATTCCAATTTACAACAAGATAAATTCGACCTTGTTCGAATTTACAACAAGACAAATTCGACCTCGTTCGAATTTACAACAAGAAAAATTTGACCTCGCTCGAATTAAGAAAGCTACATTTGACCCCGGTCGAATTAACTACCGAAAGTCAGGGACTTATCGCAAGAAGATCCTAGAAATTCGAAAATAAAAAAGAAGGAAAGGCCAAAGACGTACAACCAAGGACAAATCAACTGTTCCATTCAAAGGAAAAATAGCGTCTTATAAAGGGCCAAAAGGGGCCCCCACCCAACTAACTAAGTACAGAAAAACTAAATATAGGAGGAAAAATTAAGTACAAAAGCTTCACTCGGCATCATCTCCATCCACGCTGTCATCTCTCTCCCCGCTTGGTTCAGCGGCTTCACCTCCACCGTCACCCTCTCCATCAGAATGTTCATCATCAAAGGTAAGCCCTTCCTCAGCCTCATCGTCTCCATCGGCCTTCGGTGTCGCGGGGTCATAGCCGCAGGCAAGCCAGACCTCACGCGCTTTAACACGAACTTCTTCAAAAGCGGCTTCAGGAACATTCCCCGCTACCAACAAGCCCTTATATATATCCCGTTGAGCCTCAGCGTGGATCCACATCTCGTACAAAGGGAAAGGAACATCAACAGAGACAGACGCAGGAAGAGTCGAAGCCAACAATTGTGCCCTCTCAGCCTCGAGAGCAACAATTTGATCACCCAGGCTCGAGACATCTCTCTTAAGCCTGCCAATTTGCTCATCAAGTCGCGCCTCCCTTAGAGCGGCCGTTTCCATCTCAGTTGCACATTCAGACCTGAGAATGCGGATAGAGTCTTCCAGTGCTGCAGCCTTTGCCAAGGCCGCTACTCGGGCTCCCTCAGCCCTCTCTAGTTCGATCGCCTTCCTTTCCAACTCGGTCACCTTCTCCGCCAATTCAACACTTAGACCGGCGACTCTAGTGGCACTCTACTCAACTTCGGCGCGCAAGGCCACCACATTCGCCTGAAGATCAACACACTTGGCTGCAACACCCTTGCCCACCTCGAGCTCTTCTTCTTTAGCCCTAAGCAGCCCCTTTAGTTCGCTGCATCTGCCAATGGACCGCATCAGGTCCTTGTCCTTCAGCTCCAACTCCCTAAGCGACTAAAGATTGCCACCCGCCCTTCGTCGTGCATGCATCTCGCGGCACTTGTCACTGTATCGGTGGTACTTTGAAACCATTTTCTGAAAAGCGGTAGCCCGCCTCTCCTCACGACGGATACTCTCAGTCTCCAAAATGAAAGTTTGAAGAAAGAAGAGAGAACAGAAAAAGAAAGTCAGCAAGAGTGGAAGACGTAAAATGAAGAAAGCAGCAAACTCACCCTCAAAGCCATTCTGGCTACGCCCCGTGATAGGCCAGCATCGATGATCTCCTGAAGGGCCCTGCTTTCAGTAGCGGAACAAAGAAGGGCAAATTGGGGCACCAGGCTCACCGTGTCCTCCAGCAAATTGCAGTCCGGAGAAATCTCGATCACGCTGGAGGAATCATCCGTTCCTGCCTCCACCCGAGTGAACCCCGCCTCAAACATGTTTATGTCCCTGGGGTCAATATTTGAACCGGATTTATAGTGATCTATAACCACGCTCTTCACCCTCTCACTAGCCGAAGAGGGAGTGCGGTCCTGTTGTGAAGTCAATTGACCACTCGGAATGATCGCAACAGCCTCCGAGCTTTGTCCCCCTACCACGGTAGACTCCCTCACGCTAGAAAAGTGCACCGCCTCCACGTCCGAGGGGGATACGGTCTCCTCATCTTAATTAGCTTCACCAGCAGGCTCAGACACTGCCAACACGGGATCGTCCCTCGAAGGCCCCTCGATCCTGGGTACCCCATCAGCCCTTATTCTCCTCCTCTTTAATGGAGCTTCTTCGCAGTCGTCCTGAGACGATTCATCCACCAAATGAACTGCAGGAATAAAAGCTTCCGCCTAACGAGCAACCTCGTGACAGCCGAGTCCGGGAGGGGCCGTAGTCTGTAAAGTGCCCGCGGCATGAACGCTCTAACTTGCAACCGCAATCGATGCAGGTCCGATCGAGAGACTCGACTGACGGAAAGCAGGTATGGAGCCCTCTCCC